TTGCTTGAAATGTTACGTCCATGTGTTTGCTGTGTTCTGTGTTTTGTATGGTTGTTTTGTAACTTTTGACTGACTCTTCCATGAAGGATTCTTCAATAGCTATTAGCTAGGCACTCTGAAATGAAGATCTGTTCTGTTTTTTTCGCAGAATGAAACAGCTGTAGGTTGATTTATAAAACAAATCTTTCTGACAGCAACTCAGGTTATTTGGTGATACCTGATACCACACACTGATCCAGTATAATAATACCATTTTTAAGACAAATATGTAGGTCATTGTTTGGGCCCCCGAAGGAAATTTCTTTAAGGAGGGCAAACCTTCGGTATCCTCTTCTATGGGTTGGAGGAAAAAGCCCTCCTCCAAAAACGACTTTGTGTAAAATACTCCTTTAAAACATTATTTAAAATTATTATTAGCGGTTATCTAACTGGTGGAGTTATCTTACAATCTATTTAAAAATTTGTGAACACTTTAGTTTTTCTCAGGGAGCATAGCCCAACTGACCATATCTCTTTGTAGACACCCATGCTACTTTTGAGAAATATTAAACAGATCAACTCCAAATGTTTTCATGCCTTAAACCTTAATACTCCCTGCAACGTTGATGACCTGAATTTCTGGATGGACTGTGTCAAGGGGTGTCACAGCCGTTCCAATGTTACTAGTTGCCTATCAAGATTTAACTGTTTAAAGGTGAGGATAATATTCCTCTGCACAACCTTGTCCTGATTTGGTCCCTGGGATTCTTCATGCTGGAGTGTGCGCTCGCTTCAGTAGTCAAGAAAGAACCATCTCTGATGGTGGCTCATCATTACGCTTCTGTCCTTGTACTTGGCACAGCTCTTCTGATCCAGGAAGGAGGTGCTGAAATGGTAAGTCTGTATCATTAAATGCACATGACAACTCAGCTAGATAGAAAGAAAATAGTTTGATGAATACAGAGTATCAGAAAAAGAAAACCAGGATTTTGAACGGCCGTTGCTTGGGGACCTTAAAAGATAATTTGAAAATTTACGTCAAAGTTTTTTTACTTGCTTTAATACTTTTTGAAAAAAACTTCATGAAATTTAGATTGTCATCAATCTTATAATGAGCATAAAACTGGTAAAGTCTGTACACTTAGGGTGATCAGCGGGTTTAATTTGATTTCTTACCTGAATTTTGTGAGCATGAAGTCTCAATATTTTATGAATAAGGTAATTGAGTAGCAGAAGAATTCCTTGGCCATTTCATTTTTTCTGGCTTCTGATGCAGGACTGTCAGATTTCTTCGACTTTGTCAGCCAGTGAATGTATTTTCTAAACACTTCCTGTTTCACTAACCTGATTAGTCCAGCAACAAATTGCTTTATCATCAGGTGAATTTAAATCAATTTTAATTTAACAATTGATTTGAATCTGGCAAACCTCAAATTACATTGTGCCTTCTGTTGCGTCATAAGTATCGTACTGGCGACTAGCACCATTCGTTTGAGTCGCCACGGCATTCCGCCACCACACACCCGTTTTGCGCAATTGCGCATGCCTAATGATTCCCCCTGCTATATGGAAAACAACACTTGGTTATTCAACTCCAAATTGATGTTAAAACTGTCTAGCTATCGTAAGTAGCCCCCAAGAAATAACCCTTTGTGTTGTATTGTGAGAGGGACTCCAATCACGTCAACCGAAGCTTATTGTGCATCCCACTTGCCACTAACTGGGTAAGCTTATACCTGTGTGTGCAGGAGCTTTGCCCTATGTTTGTGTCTGATTCATCACCTATCTGCTTTAGACCAAACAGGGCCCTTCTCCTAGCCCAAGTCTGTGGCAGTCCAGACTCCTTTAAAATTCAGACATTCTTTGTTGGAGACCTTTTTATATAAATGGTTATGGTAACATATTGATCAACATACCTAAAACTAAGTTACCGGTACTTAACACATCACAAGGAATCCAATAAATTTGCCTTAAACATGGTATTTAATAGAAAAGTATTAAATAGAGGACTTGCAGTAACAACTAACTTAGCAGTAAAAAAACATCAGAGCCATAAAACGCTTCCCAATTTTTAACTTTTTAAAAAGTTTTTAAGCAAATTCCTCATCTAGGGAATAAGCTTTACTGTAGGTGGGAAGGTAAGACCTAGACCGGGGATTTTTTATTTTTGTATGTCCCCGTTTTGAAACACACCCACTGTATTTTAAGCTTACTATTAATGCAAAGTAAGAGTTCAAAAATGAGATGATCAGTGTAGCTTTTTTACTGATTAAGATAAACTGATTCTTTAGACAATACTTTTTGTGGAGTCTTAATTACACTTTCATGCCTCGCTGGTGTAGAACTCATTTTCATAACACTTAAGGATATTATGATAACCTTGACCTCTTTAGACATAACATATGATCGCTAAGAAATTATTCTAGTTTCAACTTTCACCTAGATTTTTTGTCATTCAATATACATCACTGAATAACACAACGATATAATTTGCAGATGGTTGGAATACTCATGTTGGAAAGCACCAACCCATTGTTCCAAGTTCGTCAGATTTTACGTCTCACAAAGTACAAAAACGGAAGATTCTACAAGATTGTGGAATGGAGTTTTTTAATATTTTTTACTCTTATCCGAGTAATACCCTGTGGAATCACAACTCTTTTTGTGCTCTTCGACCCATCTTCACAACTTCACATTCAAATCACCTACTCAACATTTTATTCAATATCTCTTGTCATGGTGTATTATACATTGGCGTATATGGTTAATAAGTATTTCAAAAAAGCAAAAAGCAGTTGAGCTTGTCTACTTGAAAATAGTGAACTGCATTAATAATTTGCTCTTTTAAACTTGTTAACTAATTTTCTGGTTAACTACAAGTTGAAGGCATAGACATTCAATGTGATAATTTAGTTTGGTTGATGTAAATATAGATTATTTAAGTACAAAATGTTTTGTACTTCCTCCCCTTTATACTTCCTACATACTGTACATTATTTTACGCCACACTACACGATTTTGACGAGCTTCACACGCAAGGATTTAGTCCAGAAAACAGGTGTTTGCTGCCAGCTTAATCAAATGGGGTTTCATTGCGTACTACTGTACTGTAATGAGTTTTACCGGACACCAATCAGCTGATTACACTGTATTTGGGTGGCAATGAGTGGTTATAAACTAAAACATAATCTCTCCTAGATGTTATGACTGGTGAATTTTAGTCCTTCAGTTGGTGGTAATATATAAGGATTTGTACAGATTTAGTAGTACTGTATGGCGTAAACTATCGGATCTGGACTAGTAACGTAATATACTATTACAGTATATTAAGATAAAGAGTTTGCAATGGGTAGTCGCCATAATAAACCTCCTTTTTGAGATAGGATTGTTGGTAGGATGCAAAATCAAATTTTCCTATTGTTAACACCCAGTTTAACACTTGGTCAAATTCTGATAACTGAAACTTTTAACTTTTTCCCATAGAAATATGGAAATTGTAACATTATTGAACATCAACATACCAAACCTAAAACAAAACTATTCAGAAAAACACAAGCAATCCAATAGGGTCTTAAAACTGGCATGCATGCATACGGTTAATGCAATAAATACCAGTTTACTAGGTGGCGTTTGCAGACGCGTCCACAAAACATAGCGTAGTCATCAGGGCATTATAATGCCATTGGCCCTCAGCATAAAGCTTCAAAATTATTTTTACAAATTCAAATAGACAAAAGATTTTGTAGATTGTGCACTACTTTTATTGATTGGTCAATTAATTTCAACAAATGTAACAATTTCAAACTAAAACAAAAAAATCTTTATAACAGTGTACCAAACATTTATCTTTGACTAGTTTCTTTTTCAGACGTTCTTTTGAAAATCCTGGGTCGAAAAGCAGTGCATATACCGTTTGGACGGGCTCACTGCAACATACGTCAACCCAGCACTGAATTATCTTGGTCCAATATAGACATCTGCTTGGTTCAGGGTCATGCCTTGGAATTTGTGAAAGGCAGGTGCCAATAAAAATGGTTTTCGGGTAAACTTAATGCCCTGTTTTACAAATTTATAATTTAGTAACAAAAGGGACAATTGGTACCACACTATTGTATAATGTGGTTCTCTATAATTACTAAATTCAACTATACACATAAAAGCTGCATTTTCAAATGTGATAAGACTGCTTCTTCACAATCGTATAAAATATTGTGGGCAGTGCCAATAGACTAATCCTGCATCGGTCCAAAGGTTGTGGCGTTAAATGACCCTACACCCTTTAGTTAATCTGAGGATCTTGATCTTTTCAAAAGATTGCCATTCATCAGAACTCAATATTACGGCTAATTTTTATGACACGAATGAACACTACAGGCCTATGCAGCTTAGCCAATTCATTAAGGGTGTCAGTAGCCAAGTTAGCACCCTAATTCATCGAAAGATTAGTGAAGTGAAGTGTATGGCGAGAACATTATGAGTGACGGAATGGTACGCAGGTGGGTAAGGACATTTAAAGACGGCCCCACCAACGTACATGATGAGCAACGCACTTGGTACTGGGGACAGTAATGATGCCGCCCAGTGTGTTGCTCATCATGTCTTTTAAACGGAAATTATTTTAATTGTTACCAAGTAAAATGTATTTAAGCCAGCTGAAATTTAATTTTTGTGTCAACAAAATCGGATAATTCATTTCAGAGATAATTAGGTTTAAACTCGAGTGCACATATTTATTTCCCCGACAGTACCTTATGGTTTGCTCCCTTTAGACTTGTCTCTGGAGAGATTGCATAGTATGCATTATTATTATTATTGGGAATATTATTGTCTTTCTTTTGTATATTTAAAAGGCTGGGACTGATGCTACGAAGTGTCAATTTTTGTAGAAAAGTACTTAAATAGGGAGACTCACTTATGAATTACACTACTATAACATATATGTAAATGATCAAAACTGATTAGCTGCTATCATTATAATATAATTCCAAGTCCAATTAAAAAGGTAAAATAAAACAAATAAATATGTGCATAAGCATCAACAAAATGTACAATATATTTATTTCATTCTTTACAGACCTAAACCTTTATCTAGCGATGCTAGATCTTTGATTTTGATCACAACGTAATAGTTTCCTCTTATTTAAAATAGTTTACACATATTATAACAATATAAAGGATTACATTCAAATATCTATCTCATATGTGTAATTAAAGGCACATTTGTTTCTTAGGTAATTTGATATACAATACTTTCATTTTTGGTTTTTACAATATACAAAATTATAACAAATTATACAAATTTTATCATTTATAAAATACAATATTTAAAATTTGGTCTAGTCATTATTTAAATATAATACAGAGTTATATAGTTATTTATATACACATTCGTAGCCATCGTGAAACGTTTTATAGTTAGTGCTGCCTGCGTTCGGCATCATAAGCTCTAGTAAAATATGTGTTTTGTAATATTAGGTGTAAATAAATAGTGAGACAACAGGTACTAAAGCGGCCCTCTGATATAAAATAAGGCCTCCAGGGACAAAATTAAACACTACAGAAAACGTGAAACAATCAATATTTCAAGGCCACTGCAATGTCTCCAACTTATTTTTTATGTGACCAAAATGACGTGGTTTACAGTTGACTGAAAATATCAACTAGAACCTGATACACCTAATGTGTCTAAAATTTGCAAACTCTTGAATTCAGTGTAAAGAGTCACAAATACAAGTGCGAAAAATCCATCCAAGTAGTTTTTACTTGACAAGTGGCATTAACAGAAAGTTACGATTCATCGCTTCTAGTTCAATAAATGAAAATAAATTTCTAACTCTAACACAAACTAGACGATTCAATTGAATTATCACATTCAAACATTAAAACTCAACAAATCACTTGAGGTATTGATTGGAAAAATGAAAAAGATAAAAGTTGTAGATTCAAGGTGATTTCATCAGAGAAAAAGTTGACCGTTTTCGTGACTAACGATAAGTCTGGCAAGATAAGACATTCTGACATTCGTCTTCATAAAGCATCAATCCACGTTCTTGTTGGCGTGTACTCTTGGATAGAGCTGAAAAACAAAGTTGGTTAGTTTATAAAACAAGCAGTACACTAAATAAATACAGTTAAAAAAGTCATCGTACTTTATGAAAACTATCATCGAAAACTGAATTAGTGTAATAAGCTTCAAGCCTAAATTGTATTACTTAAGAAGAGCAGTTCTAAATCCTGTTAAAAACCTAGCTCCTTTCCAAAGAATAGCAAGAACATTTTTAATTTATGGAAAAGTTTGGTAATAGTGGAACAATCGATACAGGGTCTAATCATAGACAAATAGAATAAATAAAGACTGTCAAAGGAAGGTTCCACGATGTGCTGCTAGAGCGAGCTCAGTGTTCGATTCGCTGTAGTCATCGGCTCCTCGCTATTTAATTCTGATTTTATTTAACTACACGGCACTCCTAGCGGTGGACGCCAAAGAATAGCTAACCACAGCACTATTCTTTTTGTCTATGGTCTAATTAAAGGTAGCAACACAAATCAGGTGGATTAGCACTCTGTTTCTTCCTCAAAGTACCAACACTTTCTCCCTCATTGATTGAAACAATTTTTATAATGACATAAAGCAAATTTTTTTATAACTTCATCTGTATGCCTTTTGAATTAAGCTTGTCCTATACATAAAGTTACAGTAAGATGTTAGACTGGTGCGTCTCTACGTTGTGTTCTGTTAGTGGAATCAATGCACCGGTGGAACATCTTCACATATTTATTTGCATTACTTTTTCTCATGTAGCTAATTTGGCAACCAACTACAGACTTGATATCTAACCATCAGTGGTGGATATTTTCAGGGAGCAGATACTTTACATAGTGTTTCCGCACTTTGCCATGAGTGACATTATCACTTACCCCCAACAGATTGCGAGGTATGTATCCCTCTCTGTCGCTCAGTCGAGCCCACCACCACTCTCTCTCCCACTCGTCTCCCTTCCTCAGTACGATCATCCTCTCCCCCTCCTTGAAGCTCAGCTCGTCCGTGTTGTGTGCCTCGTAATCAAACACCGCATATACAGCCCCATTGTTGAGAATACCCAACTTCTCTTGGACACCTACGATAAATTAAACTGGTTAGTTGAATCATTACCTAGTTATAATCACTAATACTTATAAATAAATAAAATTGTAGATGCATGAAACACATGTGAAAAGTTCAAGAGCATACTTCTGAAGTGATCCCCTAGACCATGTTTTCAAAACTTTACGTTACAATTAAAATGTTGTTAAAGAACTTTGCAGATAACATGTTTAGGGGATCTGCAGGCAAGACTTTTCCAATTCGGGTCAAGTAGGGTAAAAACTTGCTTATCAAATTGAATTTTGTAAAGTATTGATTGGTTTTTAAAATATTATTTTTTTACTGTATTTGGTTTTTAAACAACTATGTATAATCTCCCGCAATCACAATAAAATCATGAATATATATCCAAGGTCAAGGAAGAATTTTAAACATATTTTGTAGTCTCACAAAATTGTAATCATCTGCCGCTGATGACTTCATTATCGTCTCCCGTGATTGCAGAAAACCCGTCTACATCACCCACCTGTTATGTTAAAACAGGTGCTATGGAGAGCACACATTTTTTACAAAAAAGTAGGAATTTAAACCAATATCTAAGCAATACTGACTGTAAAGGTATTCAGAGCAACCGTCGAAGCCCTCTTCGTCTTCTTCACACTTTTCGGCCGCAGTCTCATGGTCGCTGAGAGTTGTGGCGAAGATGCAAGCGCCGTGTTCTACCAGGAACCGAACCATTGCCAGGTTGTTGCATGAAGCAGCGCAATGCAGAGGCGTCCTGCACAAGATTACGTTACGTTACAAGCTTGATAATTTGTGTAAGTACTTTTATCAGCTAAATCAAGGATGCTGTAAATATATTTCCTGGAGTCTAAACCAAAAGCACTTAGGGAACTTAAAAGCTCTTTAAAGAAATCTGTCCAAAATTCTTCAAGTTAAGCGTGCATGTTCTTGAAATATCACACTTCTATAGTTATAAATGTTCAAATTACTTTCAGGAGGTCAGTCAGATACCATTTTCAAAAATATCAAAGTGTGCAGAACTGGTGTGAGTGGTGTGGCAAAATAAAAAATGAAGTACTAGTACAGTAAATCAATACCAATTTGGGTTCTATGATCAGATTTAAAAAAATAATTTAATGTTAAGAAAGGCTATCCTGTATCTAGACTGACTGTACTTGATCATTATGTGAGTATTTACGCTAGATCCAGCTTAAACATACATGAACGATTCAAAATAAATCTAACACACAAAATCTAAAATTACGTACCATCCGTCGCTGTCTTGAGCGTTGACATCACAGCCGAACTGCACCAGGAACCTCACAATGTCCAGATGACCTGCACAGATGGCGTTGTGAAGTGCTGTGATGCCTTCGTCATTCGCCGCACTCGGGTCTCGCACCTGGGCAACACAAACAGTTAATCATTTTATAGTTTTATTTTTTTTTATTATTAGGTAAATGATACACACTTAAATTTGGACAGAAAGAAATTGCCTAATGAGTTGATATTACATAAATATTGTATTGAGTGACATCAAGTAGGTAATACGAATTAATCAAGTAACCTTTAACAAAGACTAGGAAGAATATTTGAATGTACTTTTTTGCATTAGCTAGAAAGGGATTGTATGTAACAGATAAATGGAAAAAGGAAAAGTCACAATGTTCATACATTTGTTCTATTTAATACACTGTAGACCCTCATTATCTAGATAGACTCTATTATTATGGGCAGCTCTGTCAGACAGCAGTTTGTAAACATTTTACTCAGCTACTTCCTTTATTTCTATCACATTGCTGATTGAACTATACGCAACTGAGAATTTTGAGTTTTTTTTCTACAGTGAATTTATCAACAATATTTTCTTCTGTGTCCTCACCCATAAGGAAATGGCCCCTTGTAGCACAGGTTAAGTAACCACAGTAGTTTATTTTGTTGTCCTTAATATCTTAGAACGCTGGGTTCAAGCCTAGAACTTTTAACTCATTTCTTCGGGCTAGGCCTAGAGGGTCAGAGTAACATCACATAGCTCCATTGGTGATTGGCAGGATTTGATTCTCCAACCTTGCCAGACTTTGGCCCAACACTCTACTAGACCGGCTTGCTACCCCAAAAAAACTAATAATATATAAAAGTAACACACACTGATATATTAATTTACCTGTCCAGCAGTCCGCACTACTAGCTCAAGTTCCCCCTCCAGTGAAGCGTCCAACAGCAGAGCTAGAGGATCGAAGGACACTCTCCTGGTAACTTGCTTGTGTCCTCCATTACCTCCCTTCAGGTTACCCTTCTTGGCTCTCCTCATCACGACCTCCCCTGGAATATATCGGAGCAGTTGAATAGCGTAGCAACATTGAGATAAAGTAACAACATTTTCTTTATATTTTTCATACTTTGGTATCCATACTTTATAGTTAGGTCTACTTAATAGAGTTAGAGTGAGATTAGTGTTGTTTTACCTCCTTTGTCTACTATGTGAAATGTGAATGTGTTCAATCAACCTTTATGTTTATGCCTTCTTATTAAGTTTGCAAATTAGGATTTTAATTTCAGTTGTGTTCCTATCTGGCCAACCAAAGTATGTTGTTTTAGTTCTATGTGGTAAACTTAAGCTTTGACCAAAGGGAAAGCAACTGGGCATATTTTAACCCAAATATGAATGTAGGATAAGTTTAGTGTAGAATAGGGAGAGGCGCTTGTGTTGCTTTTGTTACTGATTAAAACCAGATGTTTGTTTAGCCAGGACAATTTATTATTTATTCGAGCCCGGTTTCAAACTACCAAAAAGCTGACTTTTCTCAGAATATTCACCTTTACACTACTGTGTTTTATTTTTTGTGTTTACTATACCATCGTTATTTTTTACGTTTTTAATAAGGCACTGTCAAAACACATTTTGTTAATGTTACAATTAGGTCCACTAATTGTTAGAAATCAATCAATCAATCAATCAATCGTTGAGATGGGGACGCCACCTGGGTGCGTATTTTAACCCAAATATGAGTGAAGGATGAGTGTTGAATGGTGTGTGATGACCTGTGTAGCTTTGTTACTGACTAAGATCAGCGGTTTCATTAGTCAGGATCATTTATTTAAAGCCCAATGATCAGGAACAGCTGGGTCCAGTTTCGAACCATCAAAAAGCTACTGACTTTTCTCAGGATCGAACCGGCGACCTTTTGATTAATAGGCGAGCACTATAACCACTCAGCTACCCAGCCAGTTACGTCATCAACTGGTATCCCAATGACAAATAGCATTTAGATCCAGAATCAATCCTGCTAAAACAATAACCTTCAGACTTAAAGCTACCACCATAAACTACTCAGTGATATAACGTGTCATGTTTTAACCTACCGGTTTGTTCCTTATTGAGGCTGTTCCTAGTCTCGACATCCATGCTGCCCTCCGAGCTTTTATCGCTGTGATGGCTGTCCTCGTTGTGGATATCCTCTGGACTCGGAGGAGCAACACGATCCACCTGGTCCGTTGACTCCGAGGAGCTTGAGACCAGATCTGCCGGGGGCGCCTCCGTCTCGGGGAACAAGAAAGCTGGTGGCATCTCTATCCTTCTGTTGGAACTGTACCCACTGGTCTCTACAGAGTAGAGGTTTTCAGTCACTGAAACAACATTTTTTTATTAAATTTGGCATACTATCTTAAAATATAGAGAATATAACTGTTATACTGTTTGAAAGTATTTTTTACTATTCTTAAAAACAATCTTATTATGAAATAAAACTGAATTTTCTTTATGTACTGTAACCGTTTTCATCACTTATTGAAATGAGTTCTGGGTTCTTCTGGCATGGTTTGAGGGCATATAGGCAAGCGATTGTTCAACTCTAATGTTGTTTTAATTGTGAATAAACAATAATTTCTCAAAATCACTCAAACACAAACATTTTACTACTCACCATCACCTTCTTCTTTTGTACTCTTGACTTCAGATCCTTGATTCACAGGCAAACTTCCGTTTCTTAACCTCGGGATTTCAGAGGGAGGTTGTTTTCGTATCGTGAGGGGTCGAGCCTTGATTATTTGGTCTTGTGGCCTCTTAGGAAGGTCGTCAATAGGAGGTTCAGTGGTAGGTGGTGGGGGAGGGAGGGGATCGGACACTACCAGAGTAGCACTGGCCGGTTGGGGAGGTTGTGTTTGGTATGGGTGGGGCTTCTGAGATGGGTAGTCATTCCCCCTAAAAACAACGTTGAAATTAGTAATTCCAGAACATTTACAGTGAGTACATGGTTTCTCTTTCTATTTAACTACTAATATACCTGACACTAAGGTACATAATGGTATTTAAGTGTGTACGACATTCCTAGGCAGAGACCTTAACACCTTCTCATCACCGTATATGACTTTTAGTGGTTAGAAGATATGTGAATGAGAATGATTTATTGGTGCATATACAGAGCAAAATAGTTTCAGATATACAACACTACTGTAGCAAAAATAATATAATTCATGAATACTTTGACTACATAAGGTCTACTGCAATTAATAAGCTATGCTTGAAGTCAATGCTAAAGATAGCTTTAACTTACTGTAGAATAGGAAGTTTGGAATGTCTACTTTACACTATCAAGAGTCAGGGCCTCTTTAGCTGCAAGAGGTTTTCATTCGGTCTGTTGTAGTCGCAAGTAAGGGGCAATGGGAGCATAAATATTTTTCAGGCTCATAGCATCTCACATCCAAGCCACCTGTCTAAAGTGGTTACTACATAGAAAATGTTTACAAAATTGATTTGGTTAGTTCATTTTTGTTTCTTTTACTATTTTTTCTTTTATGTTTTGTTTTATGTTTATTCATAGTTTCTTATACTTATTATTCATACCTGGAGGTGAGTGCAGCGCCTCTGAGTACAGTGAGAGCAGTGTCCACAGCCTCCGAGGACGTGTCCACAGGTCGGGGTCGCTTGTCCTCCTCCTCCCCCGCCCAGTGAGCCTGGCGGGGCGGTGGCGGAGGTGTGGGCTTTACAGGCAGTGCAGGCTTTGGAGGCAACGCTGGCTTCAGCGGGGAATCTGGCGGTTCACTGGGTTGAGATAAAGGCAACTCTTCTTTTTGGTCCCGAAGAATACCCTAAAAAAACGACTTGGTATACATATAAATCAACTTATTTAGATACTATGGTTGATTCTCTAGAACTGGGTTTTGGAAATGTTGGTTGTTAACATATGGATCAATTTAGGCCTTTTAATTTACAACTGGCATGTTGATATGTACTTTTAAAACCTTGTTCTCACAACACGTGGTTTGTTGAATCTCCCTTGTGACCTTGATCAGTGGCTTGTATTAATAACCATAGTGAGAACAGCTTGTCAGTGGCTCGTGCAGTTGTTCTAGGTGATTCGTTGGATGGTTGGTACATGTCTACTCCTTGTCTAGATCGCTCACATTAAAAAAAACCTTTTTAAATCCTAATCTGTATTGCTTCACACTTTACCCTTATAAACTACCAATACCTCAATAACTCTGCCTTTTTCTCCAAGCCAGTCAGTGGTTTTTTAAATCTACAAGCCACCACGCCCCGTGAATACAGTCAGGTTCAGGTTCACAAATTCTCTGACAACTCAAAATCCATTGACTGATCAAGGCAATCAGCAAGTTTCGACCTACCACGCGTCGTGTGAACAAGGCTTAAGAGATGTGCACAGATTTTGAAATATAGTTTTCTTTATAAACCACAGGAAAAGATATGTGCTGTGGTGTGTACATCCAAGTATAGAAATAATCTAACTTGTGAAGCCTTGTATTGTAAATCTATACTGTATTGTTGTATTGTACCTGTGGTGTGGAGCTTAGTGTCTGAGGCTGTACAGGATGTATTTTGGTGGATGAGGTTTGGTAGATAGGTGAAGGTAGCTGTACAGTATTTGGGCCTACACTGCTCACGGGCTTCTGAAACAAGTCAGGGACACATTAAAAAAACTCTACCATTTTAACAGTTGAATTGAATAAACAGTTAAATATGTATGTTCATCAAATTTTTATACAAACACATAGAATCAGAGGAGTTGTGAAAACTGTTAGAGAATGTGTTAAGTAAAATTAAATTTATAAGTGTAATGTTTTTAAAAATATTGAAATTAGAGTTGGATTCTTAAGCAGGAAACCCACTAGTCCGACACTCTCTGACATGACACCTTCCAACAAGTCTCCAACACCTTCCGATGCTTTCCCCACTTATTAAGGCAATAACCCATTGGTCCGACAGGCTTCGTCACCCACATAGCACAGAATATTTATTTGATATCAAATAAACGTTCAATATATCAAACTATGTCAAATCAAAAATTTGATATTTATTTGATATTCATTTAATGTTCAAAATGTCAAAGTCAAACAATGTCAAACTTTGAATATTTATTGTATCTTCAAAATATCAAAGTCAAATAACATCAAATTTAGAATATTATCTAAATATTCTTAATGTTAAAAATTTGATTTTCTCTTTGAATATACTAGTTTTAAAATTTTTTAGATTTAACTTTTTAAATTTTTTAGAGTAAAGAATTTAGTCCCCAGCCTACAGGAGCCCATTTCATAATAAACTACAAGTTACAACTTGTAACTTGTTAAAATCCATGTTTTAGCCCCTGAGCTGTATAATAACTAAAAATAGGCTTTACCTTCGTCACTTGTAACTTGTTATTTCCATTAGATTTGCATTGGGCAATCAGCTGATTTACTAATAATATTAGTTTGTACTTTATTATGAAATGGGCCCCAGTTTGTAATATGGAGGTCGGAGGTCAATTATCTCAAAATAATTAATAATATGAAGGAAAACTGAACACTGTAATTTTTAATTAATTGATGATGGATTTTGACTTTTCGCGGGGGGGGGAGTTGTTGGAACATCTGATATTTTTTTCTGAATCTAGGCTTACTACACATTTCAAGAAGAGTGAATAGGAAACACAGCTTTTTTTAAAAGTTTTGTTTATTAATAAAAAAGTCAAACTCTTAACGATTGGCCTTATCATTTTATTTTTACTAGTAAATTAAACCAAACGTAAATTTACATTTTTTTAAGTGTAATATAACTCTAAAAATATGTTAAGTATCTAGTTTGAGCTTGACTTGGCCCATTCGTATGAAAGGAAGAGAGGAAGACTGAAGACAAAACACCAACTTAATTCTAACCTAACTCAGCAAACAAAACAAAACATTACAATACAAAACAAATTACAAAATCCGTCGCGCGACCAGTGGTGGTCAGGTTACTCACGGTGTGGTTTATTTATTTATTAACCAACAAATTGCCCATTTTGAGGGAAAGTACACGATTTATGTAAAATGTACCTATGACAACTAACTTGTTGAGTAGGCTACACAAGTAGTGAAAATAAACTATGGAAGCAACAAGAGTATCAAGATTCAAGAACAAGACATAACCTCAAATCAGTTAACTTAAGTGTGCTGATATTTTGTTTAGTGTGTGTCACTGTTAGTTTAGAGTTGTTATTTTGTGACTGGGTATTGGCATAACCTACACCGAACATCTTTTCACGTTTTGATCCTTGGAGTATGTAAGTATAAGTCACTATACCTAGTAACATAGACGTATTTTAGGCCTTGGCCTTACCTAGACCTAAGTTAAGCTACTGTACAAATTAAATTGGCCAACTTATCATTCCTAATGCCTTAACTTAAGTATAAATAGATAAATCTGAAACCTCAAAATAGGCAATCTGTTTTATAGGAAGTATTTTTCTGCATACTAATTAGGCCTAGGCGTAAGCTACTAAGTTAGGCGGCTTGCTTAGTTCTTACTGAACCAGTAGTTTATTTAGCTTCAAAGGGCAACTTCCGGATGAAAATAGTGTTCAATATATAGGCTAGTAAGTAGGACTAACTTACTGGTTTACAAGGCAAATGGAATACCATACTGTGTTGTAATACCTTGTTAGGCTAATTTTGAAATATTACTAAGTTATGTGGGTTATATTTTACGTCAGTCACTAACTTAAGTTTATGTAAATTCACCATCAAGAATAAGTTAACTTAATTTAGGCTAGCCCAGGCCTAACATATTCTACCTCAACCAGGTTACAATTTACCGGTATTATAAAAGAAATAGCCTAGCCTATTTGAAATCCATTTTCCTTTTAAACTGAATTGGGGTACACTTCCGTATCTGTTGTCAAAAACAACTGAATGAATATAGGCTATAACCATCGATATTTTCATTCGGTTGTTTTTGACAACAGATACGAAAGTCTACCCCTGTATTGTCTCTTATTCTTTTGTATTTTAGTTGTTGTCTGCTTCCTTTACCAACCAATGATTAGGCCTAACTAATCTTGATACATATTTAGGCCAGAGAAAGGTATGCATGAATTTAACTAAAAGTAGTTTTCTCTCCATTGTTTCAGTTGATAACTCTGCAGCTTTGGTGGAAGTTGTTATTTGGTAGCAGTGAATAATTTGCCTACGGTACCAATTCTCCCGAGTGACAAAGTGGCTGTCTAGCAGCCTGTAGGCTGGGAAGGAGGAATAAATTTTTCTTTTGCAATCTGCATCTGAAGCCAGCTATCTTGCGTAAGTTTTTTTTTTTTTTATTTACAATCAGACATTAATAATAGGTAGACATACATATATTTCAATTAGGTTTTCTCAAAGTTAAAATAAGTTAAAATAAAGTTTCAATCTTAGGTGTTTTTATTTCAATTTTTCTGTTTGATTCGCCATGACTGTGTATGTCTTTTTTGCCATAACGGGTACAGTTCCGCAGAGAACCTGCGATATATTATCGGATGAATAACATTATATATCAATAATTATCCGATTCAATACATCGTTCCCTATGTTTTTTCACTATGTAAACATCAAATTGAGTTATGATTTGCAGATTTGGTGAATTGGTTTTGCAATATTAATATCAAATCAGATATATATACCGTCCGATAATATATCGCAGGTTCTCTTAGGAACTGTAGATAAGTTAGGCTCTACCACCAAAACACAACCTAATTCATGATAGGTACCTATTGGGTAATAACGTAGCCTAAGGTTCATCACACAGTTAAGAGAGTTTCTCTTTTTTGTGACCCACTTATATAGGAAGTCTTTGATTTACACTATATAAATATTCCGGCAGTGCTAACTTGTGTAAAAGAAAACTGTATTAGTTGAATTTTTTTAAACGCACACGTAGGCCTATACACACACCAAACTACATCCGACCGTTGCACTCATTTCAGTCAGTGCTCACCCCAATATTTGTCCGTTCAAGTGACTGAGGATTACTTTTACCACTACCTAGGTCAAAATTTTCAATTTTCAGATTTAGATTTAGCTTTAACAAGGCTACTCAAAAGAAGCAAATGCCATCAAAATATAAAATAGATTTCACTAACAATTTAATATGTGTACCTAGTTGTAGGCTATCCTGGGTGTTGATCAGGAAAATTAAAATATATACAAATTCTAGTGCTAATACTAATCTCTTTTATACAGAGGCAGAACCGGTACGCAAGAACACTAGGATCGTGGTGTAATGGAAATATATGTTGTTGCTACTATAATCAAGAATTGGCTTCGCCCAGCAAAGTTTAGGATTGATGCAAGGTAAATTTATTGTGTTATTTATAATTTAGGTTAAAGAAAAGATTGCTTATCTAATTACCTAATATAGAACTTAAATTTTATTATAATTAACAGATTAGGCCGACATCTAACTACTGTGATGTTTTCTTTTCAAATTGTGAATTTTCAGTGACAGGCTATGCAAATGAGCAAAACTTAATCTGCGGTTTTATCCATCTCTTTTTTCTTTATTGTCAAGAACTCAATGCCTTATCGACAAATTTAATTATAAAGTACAGGTATAGTAAAAAAATAGGTCTTAAAAATGCCTAACGAAGGGGTCTCCAACCTACAGCCTGTGGGCTACATCCGGCCCTCGTGCAGTTTTATTCCAGCCAGCAGAAAGCCAGCATACGTTTTTGAAAATTATTATTTTTTATAGCAAACACCAATTATATTCTCCCACAATTGCGTAAACACGTGTGGTCAGGTGGTCTCAGCTATATCGTGATCATCTCCCGTGATCTCGCCAAGACTCACGAGCATATTATACTGCAGTCTCGACGGTGCCGTGATTGTCTTTTGCAATCCCAGCAACACCCTTCATTGTTGACCGTGATTTCCTTGAGGTGTAAAAAGAGAACTTTGTCAATGAATGCAGGCTCAGCCGTGGGATATTTATTTACCTCGCGGCTCATACCATAATTGAGAGCAATTAACTGTCTCTTCCCATTCAACAAAATTTGTGTACAATACCCTGTCTCCAAGTTGGCAGGTTAACGTATTTAAATAGGAACATAGTAAATGTCTCTCACTTGCTAATTTTTTTTTTCAATAGGCCTAGGGGAATATTAGTAGTAGTCAAGTAGCGGCAGATTAATTTAAATATATATATTTTTAATTGATCCTAATTGGCAGAACTACAAATTGAAATCTTAAACTAGCTGACATTTTAAGTGTCAAATTTTATAGCCTATTCTCACTAAAAAATCATTGAACTTTTTGTCAAAGATTTAGCTTAGAATGTGATTACTTCTTAATTGCACATCTTTCGTTAGAATTAGAGGCATTTATAATTTTATTTTATGAACAGAACTATATTTTAGATTATTAAAAAAGGAAACTATGTAGTTTATTTGTTTATGGATAGATTTTGATAAAATTTGGCAAACTTATTTACTTTATCCTATACTATTGACGTATGCTCAAAAAAACTTTTTACCTTCTCCATGGCTGCAAACCTAACCTTGTTAAATCTAATCTTCATTCAATTTTTATCTTGTATATTTTTTTATATTATCAGCAAGTTAGGTTAGCTTATGACAGTTTAATTTTATAATAGAATGCTCTCATTTTGTCCGTAGTAAACCTTAATTCAATTTTTTCACAATCAGCAAGTTTGGTTAATTTGGTTAGGTTACGACATTTTAATTTTATAATAGAATGCTCTCATTTCGTCCGTATCACAAAAAGCCTTTACCTTGTGACAAACGACAACTACAATCGCATCGATAGTAGATGATGTTGTGATTCGATAGAGTAGCGAACAATTAACGTTAGTTGCTAAATCGGTGGCGTTTTTAGACAAAAAAGTGCTCACCGAGGAAAAAGGGTTGGAGACCCCTTGTCTAACATATTATATTTTATCTATAGCTGTCTTAGAAAATAACTCTGTTGAACCTCTTTTACAGGAACAATAGAAAACTCAAGAAGGCCATTTGGGAGATGAAGAAGACCAGAATTATTTTTTTTGTAAATTGTACATATCTTTATTATATTTGTGTTTAAATAATTTTTAATTAAACTTATTTTATCATACAAATAAAGTTTTTTCTTTAAAATGTTTTCCTTGAATGCAGTTTTGTTTTAAACAAATATGTTTTGTGATACTTTTGTTAATGTTTTGTCAAATAAGAAATATATATATATATATATATTTACATTTTTGGGTCACCCAAGAACTTTAACAAACTACCTATAACTTCAGAATAATAAGTCAAATCAAGGTAAGAACAGTAAAGAAGTCTGAACTGATATTATTTTAATCGCCATGAAATTTGAAATGTGAAAAAATGCAACCTAATTCTTCTAAACATATTTTACCAATAAATGTATGAGACATTTATTTGATATTCAATTTAATATTTATTTAATGTCAAATTAAGTGAGGTTGAACCTAAATTGACCATTTATTTGATATCAAATGAATGTTCGCGAATATTAATTTAATATTCGAATGTCAAAAATGTTATATCAATATTTATCACCATCATATTTAAAATGTGAATGTAAATTCAATCATATTCTCTTTATTATATTTTACCAATAAATTTATGAATGTCAAATTTGATATTTATTTTATATTCAATTTGAATATTTATTTGATGTAAAATTGAGTGACGTTTGAACCTAAATTGAACGTTTATTTGATATCAAACGAATGTTCGTGAATATCAATTTGATATTCAAATGTCAAAAATTTGATAGCTATTTGATATCAAATAAATATTCGGTGCTATGTGGGCAGTGACCGACGAGAAATTAGATATTTCGGGCTTTTTTGTAAATTGGTTGGCTGCTAGTAGTAAAAGAGGTCATTATGTGTCCATCCGGTTCTTTGTTCGCATAATCTTTTTTGATAATAGTTAGTCCACAATTTAAGAACCAATCACCACTCAAATCCATAGAACTTGCATCATTGAAAGCATCAGAATATGTTCAGGCAGCTTTCATAAGCCACTGTATAAAGAAAAGGGATGTTCCCAAACCGCTTCGATCGAACGTTTGCCAATACTCATGTCACACACAAAGCTAGACAGTGACTAATCTAGGTCTCATGCACGCAGAATGGATTTCGGATCGGAAGGTGTCGTGTCGGACTAGTGGGTTACAGTCCATTTAAAGTCATGCAAAGTAATTTTTTTGGAAGGTGTCGGAGACTTGTCAGAAGGTGTCGTGTCGGAGAGTGTCGGACCAGTGGGTTTCCTGCTTTAGGGGTATGGCATTGCCTGGCAGTTTGAATACTGTGCATAACCCCTTCTCCCTAACTGGTAGGCTAGATATTTCAGAAGGCTTACATTTAATAATTGAAGATATGAATTGCTGGTATTCTGGCTATCAGAACCACTTTTATAAATAGGCCCAGAGGCGCAAGAGGTTTTTAGGTTGGTTGGGGGTGCAAGGAAGAGAAAATTCCTCCCACGATGTAGGTGTAGAGGAGCACAATTATCTCTCGGGCCCATTAAGCAGCACATCCAAACCGCAGGCCTACTGGCCATAAGTATGTTTTTTTTAATATAAAATAAAATGTTCGTACAAATACCGTTTTAAAATTATTTCCTTAGCTTTCTGTGGGAGAATACACCCCCACCCCAGGAGCAACCACCAATAGAAATTAAATTATTAATTAAATTATTAATTATGTATATCTTTAGTTGGTTGTTAAATTATAAAAAATTACTACAACGAGAGTTTATTAATATGACAAGTAAAGTTTAGATGACAATATAATAAAAGATTGGCTAAAAAGAATGTTATTTACGTAATTTCTTGCAAACAAAATACTAAATATGAGGCTTCTGGGTTTTGGAACAAAGAGTAACCTAAAATATCGAGGAAGGATTCTACTTATTTATGTAGTATACAATGTGCAAAAAAAAGTTATAAGTACCTAGGTAAGAATAGCATTTACTTTCTAGTGCTATAATATACAAAATGTAATTTTTTGTTACATAAAAACTAAATAAATTATTTTTTAAGCAGAATACATTTTAAACAAGCTGCCAAATGACATGAGAGGTGCATAATGACCGAACTAAAACAAAATATATTACAAAAAAAAAAATCAAAACTACCATTAAAAGTGGAATTTAAAGAAAGAATCCGTGACTGACTAAGATGCTACAGCCTATTCAGATTCCAACTCACCTGGAATTGTTCAGATAAGGAAGTTGGTGGCAATACGAAGCCCGTTACCATCGGGACAGAGTTTGAAGATGAAGAGGAAGCGTTATTTACATTAGCAGAATGAGAGGAGTTGGGTTTGGTGAATGGAACCATAGTCTGTGGAAGAAAGCATGCTTTTGATAGTAAGACAAGACTTACTGCAATTGAATTCAAAAGATTATAGATGAAGTTCGGTAGTAGGAGAAGAAGTTAACAAAAAGGCAGCCATGAGTAGGAGGAATATAGTAAAGGATCACATTGATACAGGTATTTACGCCAATTTATAGGAAGATATCAGGGAAAAGCAGAGGTCGTTGGAAGGAGCTTAGAAGATATTTAGGAAAAGGTAGAGTAGGATGGAGGAAGAGAGAATTCCCAAAAAACAGTGAGGTGGATGGTGGAAGAGGGAATTAGCAAAAAAGATTCAGTTGGATGATGTACCTATATACAAGAGAGAATAAGCATAAAGAAAAGGAGAAATAGTACAACTTTGTGTGAAATTACAGAGAATGAAATGTTAAAGAGATTGTTTAGTTATTGACTTATGCTCGTGTGAATGAGTATAATATTTAAAGAAAGCTTTTTCCAATAAAATAACAAGGATGGAATAAAAATGTAAAATGTCAGTGGACAATGTTAATCCAGATATTGGTCTAGGTTAGTGTCACTCTTAAATTTTCTTAAAACTACTTAGGTAAACTTATCAAATGTGGAAAACTGATTTTTTTCATATCATTACAAGCAGCTCTTTAACTACATAGGTCATGTCCTTTTGAAGTGTTAACTATGTCTGTTAACATTCAAATGCCTAGACCATTTCTTATAAAATATATGCAATGGTTACGGTTTTACACACACATAACAAAAACATTCCAGTGTGATATTGCAGAATATAAGATAGTGTCAAAATTTGTGCATTTTCAATTAAAAGTTCTGATTAGCTAAATTCACACTGTCTAGTGCTCACAAAGTTTTGAATATTAATTCAATACCCTCGAAGTAGAGCATAACAAACAAGTTTGGTCAAAGGCATGATAATGTCTAACTTGAGATTAGCTAGTGTCAAAGGGGAGTGAGGCCACATAAAATCAAAACTTTATAAGCACAAATTTTGAATTGGGGCCATACAATAGCTTATTATTATAATCTAACAAGAATGCAAATGTAAAAAGTTTTTAAAAAATGTGTAATTATGGATTTGGGTTATTGGCTACCCTTTAAGAGGGTTCCACCCGGTTGGTTAGCGTACCACATAACATGGTCCTACAAAAAAAACCTCGTTGCATTATTAAAGTGTTTATCGAGTTGAAATAAACTAGAAAATATTCACAGATCTTGAAAGCAGCTTTAAACGGTACACTGGTTATGTTATGATACAGTACCTGGTGACTGGATGTGGAACTAGAGCTGCTATTGGTGGCTACGGAGGAGGTGGGGGAAGAGTTTCCTACAGGCTGTCCTCTGGCTAGGAGAGAGGCCCCGATATTACTTGTGTTGTACACCCTGGAAAGTCATCAGGAGTTAGAACACATGGTTGTTTCTATGAGCATTACAACTCAACACTGCATGAAACCATGACCTGATGGGTGATGAGCCAACAGGAGTGTTCTAGAACTTTGGTCCTCTACGGGTTTGGAGAATTCTTCAAGTTCAAGGTCAGCTTTGACAGGCGCCAAGTGTGTTACCAACAATGTGCAATACAAAGCTACCTGTCACAGCCTTTGGTAAGGATAAGGTTGTATGGTTTTGGGTGATCGTTAGGCTATAGGTTAGGCATGGTGGTTTTTGGAAGTGGTTTGGTTTTTTGCGGGTATTTGGGATGTTGTAGTTGGGTGAGCGTTGTCCTACGCTCTTGTTGCTGAATATATAATTAAAAATATCCCTAGCCCGTGTCAATTAAATTTTATTTTCAGAAACATTGGTCTTCACTAACAAAGCTTTATCTACCTCACTATTCCAAGTTATTTCAGCTTCATTTAGGTTGTGTATTCAAGCTAACCCATTATCATTAACATTACATGAGTGAGCATACTAAGAATCTATTTACCTTGGACCCAGGTTTCCCAACACAGACAACGACGAGGTGGATGAAGTAGAAGACGAAGAAGACATCATAGAAGGAGACAGTGAGAGTTTCTGGTTGGCCAACGGCGTCGCTAGACCCTTGTTGACTCCAGGTGGTATGGGAATACTATGCACTACACTCATCATGTTGTTGTTCACATGGTTACTGTTGTTGTTGTTCTTCACCAACTCCGAATCACAAACGGTCTCCCTCTCCCCTCCCTCCCCCTGAAGTCTCCTCAGTTTCACTCCGGTCAGGGGATGCGTAACATAGTTTACCGTAAACTTTGTATTGTAAGGCAACGTTTGATATTTAGGGTCCGTTTTACTCGCACCGAACTCCGGAAGGTTTTCCTCTTCTTTCACTTTGTAGTTGTCGTCCACCGGTGAGTTTTGGTTCTTGTGCGATGACTTCATGTTAAAATCGTCCTGCGACCCTGTTAACCTCTCGTGGTTGTATATTTGATCGTTTACCACCTCCAAGTGGTGACTTCTCCGCTCCGGTTTCTCTGGACGTAGCGGTTGTCTCACGTGCTCCTGGGTGTCAGAGGGGACGTGGTGGTACGGCTCGATGGCTGCTATGTTGCCAGCAGTCAGTGGCCTCAGCAACTGCTTGTTGCCTGGTTGCTGCTGATACTGCTGCTGCTGGTGATGTTGAATGGCAGATGTTGACAACGTACTTCTGCATAAACATCAGTCACATTAAAACCAAAAATATTAGCTAGGCCTATGTGAAACCATCAAGCAATACACTTAGGGAGAACGGAAAGATTATTAGTTTGAAAACTCATATATGATTGTACAAACTGAAAACTTGAAATGCTTCACTAAAATCATTTATTGTAGTAAACATTGCATGGTCCGCTGCGTAGCCACATTTTTACTGCAAGATAACATTGAGTCTCTTATTGAGTGTAGTAGTATTGAAGTTCTATTTTCTTTTCCTTTTTTTATTGTTGGTTGATGGAGGCAAAAAAAAAACTACTTACATTGCTAAAGTGTGTGGTGGTGTAATATGTTACCTTTTCAGTTTTTGTTTTAACATATGGTGCTTTCAGCCTTCGGATTTTTACAATACAATAGATATAAACGGGTTTGGACGGTTTCCTTAAAACAAAATGTTATAAAGGCCAAAGGAGTAAATACCCACTTAGTAAAAGGCCTCTAAAATTAACTTATGTTTACTAGATTTCTGTGCACAACTGTGTTACTCAGCTTGCTATAGAGGTAGTTTTCTCTATAAGCTGTCTCGGCTTGCATTTAAAATGTTTTTCTTAATCAGTGTATCTTTATTTTGTTTAAAATCTTTTTCTCATTTAAAAATATTAATTTATGTCAAATAGGGATCTGAAATAGATTTTTTATTGAGGATAGTAGAAATAGTCCTCTCTTTAAAAGCAGCCCTTTGAACAACGTCTACACCCTAAGTGTGTTTTTGTGTCTAACACACAAAAACATTATGCATTTTGTCAGTTGGGTTTTACGGCTGTAAATACAGTAGATTTCAATATTCAGATTCTAGATAGATTGATATACGCCATAGTATAGCAATGACTATTCTAAACTCAAAGTTTTCTGACACAAAGTTGACTAAGCTTACCTCAGTTGTTGCTGATGTGTGGTATTGGCCTTGTTGCTAGCTGCTGTGATCTGATTGGCCAGTTGCTGGTTGAGAAGTCGCTTGCGGTGAAGCCGATCCTGAAGTTCTGAGATTCTCTTGTCTATCGACACCATCTCCTCCTGCCTCTGTGATAAAGCTTCTTTCTGTTGAGTTAACCTTGCGTTCTGCTGATCGTTCAGTTTGTTCCGGTACTGTGAACAAACGTATGGTTATTGTTTTTGTTTAATGAGTGTTATTGTTTCGAGGAATAAATTTACTGTGATACCGATGGTGGAAACTATCTTAACACCAAAATTACGATAGCTTTAGTGATAATATTATGTCCCTTCTTAAATATTAGCTAAACTTGCAGGTTTTAAATCCTGCTACAATGCATAACTAGGAAAATATTTTAAGCTGATTGTGAATGATGGACAAGAATGGATGATCTGTGTAGCTTTGCAACAAGATCATGTGTTTCGAAAGCAGCATGATTTTTAATACCAATTACATCTTATATTATTTATTTACCAGGTTTTTAACTCATATTGCTAACAAAGTGTTCCCTAAATGAGAGCTTGGTTAACAAAGCAGAAAATTAAGGGGTTCAAAACATTTATCAGGTCAATATCATTTGAAAATTTTAGATGGTTTATACTTAAATATTGAAAGTGTTTGATATTCTCTTCTCTAAAGAAAACACATCTGACATAGATGAAAAAAATGTTTCTTCAATAAACGGTGGAGTAAAAAGAGCACATTTAAGAGTATACAAATATTCAAGGGGTTCAAAATAATTGAGAAGTTTGAATTCCTTTCGCTTGAGTTTCTCTCTTAGCAAAACACCTCTGATATAGATGAAAAAGTGATTCCTAGATTATCCTTCATTAACAGACCACTTTGAGGAGTTTAGTAAAATCCCCCCCAGTTCCTGCACTATGAAACCGGAATTATTTTCCCTCTTCCCCTAAAAAACTTCTAATTACAAATCCCTGGATTTCTATATTTTGTTCTACCTCTACCATCCATGGAGTCCCTGACTTACCATGAGTTCTCTCCGGAGTTTTTCGAGTTCCTGCGCTGTAGAGGGGGGAGTGTTCTCCCTCCTCCCCCTCCGCAACTCCTCCAGTTGTCTCGTCAACTCCTCCACCTTGGCCACGGCCACTGACAACTCCTTCTCCTTCTCATTGAACAAGGCACGGATACTGTCCAGGTCTGAAGCTGCAACAAAACACTTCAGTTGAGTCCGAGTAGCAGATAGCATTGACTGGAGAAAGATAAGCTTGACTAGGACTATTTGTGGATAATTTACAGAAGTTAACAGATATTGGGTTGGCTTCTGACATGATCCTAATGTTTGAATAGATGATGAGCCCAATAAGGTTGTTCAAGGTCTTAATCCTGTTCAGTCTCATGGCATTACAGTACAACTACTAGCTAAGAATGTTTCACATTCACAGTCAGCGTAATGAGATCGTATCGCATATCACAAAAAGATTGACACTTATTTAAGCACTAGTCCACAAACTCTTTATGGCACTGGGAGTAAAACTTTGAGGGTAGCTTAAAGCTTTTCAGGGTAAAAATATTAGAAAGTCCAAACAAAAATTGGACAAAATTAGTGCCAGGATACTTAAAACATAGAAATCTTGAAACATTGAAATCGGCTGGATTCTTATAAAAAAGTTTCAACATAAAGTAGTCATAGGACTAAGAGGCAATTATTACAGATTCAAGGGCGGATTCAAAGAGAAAATTTGGGGGGAATGGGTACAGAATCCAGAAATATATATATATTTTTAATTTCTATGCCCATAGAAGAGATTTTGAAACATAATTTCAAAGGTGTGCAGTGTGCAATTAAATTTTCTTAGTTAGGCTTTGTGATTTTTGTATGGTTTTTTAAGATTTGGGAGGGGGAAATTGACTCCTTTTCCTCTCCATGGGCCTGCCGCTGTTATACTGATTATTATTACTCGCCCCTTGCCATTTCAATCACTTATTCACTGAACTAATATACAAAATCTTACATTTATATTTTAGTGTACAATCATTGCTAATAGCTCAATACATTACAACTGGATATAGCTTAAAAAGAAATCTTGAATGTTAAAACACTAATTGCTTCTTTGTTACCGCCATTTGTACATAATGGGGGATTCACTTGATATAATGGTTTAAAAATGAATACGTTTTAAATGGTTTGTTGTAGTGCTTTAAGTAAAGTGTAGTGTCATTGACTACAGTATTGGTAGTATTTGATTGATTTGAATTTTACAAGACAATTTATTAGTTTTAAATAATAACAATTGCCAATAGCAGTAAAATGTAATTTAATTTTTGTTGGTACCTAGTATTTAAAAAATTCAAAATCATCGTATAATAATAAAATACACTTTTGTTTTTTGTTAATTTAACTGTTACTTTTAAACATTTTACATTAATAAAAAGTTTGATAACCTCTGTTTTTATATAGGATAACTTAAATGTATAATAACATTTTAGGGAATATGTGTAGAGGATAATTATTTTCATCATAGGATCCACCAAATATATCATTATTTCAATTAGTCCATAAAAAGTAAAATTTACAAAAATATATAAAAATTCCCCGACCGTAACAAACGCCTGCTAAACTCCAACGCAAACCCCGCTAGACATCAAAGGCTATCAAGTAGCGTCCGCCACTTTGCGGGTGTTCATTTTATTCAAACCGTCAGGAAAAATTATTTTGCAATTGAATCAAACATTATGATTACAATTTGGAGACATTAGAAGGCATTATCAGTAGTAAGAAACACCACATATAGGCTGTTAGTTTACAAATGTTTAGGGCGTTATGCAATTGTAATATTTTGTAATTTTCTGAATGCAGTATTAAAATTTCAAGTAATTCCATTATTAGCAGCCTATGTAGCGCTGGACAAAACATTGACAAAACTATTCATACTTCAAGGCACAGTAAATAGTTGGCAAATAAAATTATCTTCATTCTCTCTAACAAATATATAAAATAATAACCATGCAAATATATTTTAGCTACAATGTTAAAAAATGTAACTGGGATCATCATGGAAAGTAGTGCAAGATTGAAGTGATATTTGAAACCAAAACGAAACAACTTATATTTTATGTCAAGGATTTTACAGATGTCAGCATCGCGATCAAAAGCAGTAACGAATGAAATCGAAACTCCTCGTAGTGAATTGTGGCAAGATCGGTAGCGGAGATGGTTTTTCGTTTCATCGTAACGATAGTTTTTATAAACGATAAACGTAGTTTAAAAGAGCTTTGTGTTTACAAAGTAATTAGCCCCAGTACAAGGCCCCACTAGAAACACTTTTCCTAGTGGGGCCTTGCCCAGTATATCACATGTGTTTGGAAATACTGCCAAATTAACGGGTGGATGTAGTACTGTATATAAATTGACTTTTCGTGTCTTAAGTGTACAATAAAATTGAATCCAATACTGTTTTACCCTCATTACAATTTAAACTGCTTAAACCACAGACAATAGACCACTATGGTCCACAATGGTATATTCTCTGTACTTAACTTAACTTGTCCATAGTATCGTTTTTGAACTCAGATTATATTTTGTGTTGACTTTTTAATTGATAATGCTAACAAAAAGTCTACGTTAAGAGTAACCTTCAACAAATCCAGGGTTTGGGCAGTTTCCTCACAAAAAAACAACGCAAACAATTACAAACATACTGCTTCTTATTATTATGATCTCATATTTATGGCAAAGGTTGATAAAGGTGCACAGTAGTTTAGACAGACACAGAATTTAGCTTCGTTGTAAATTTACAGTAACACACAAACACAAAATCGCATTTTTATTTTCGACCAATTGGTCTGTTACATCAGTTTTCCAAATGACAATTATGGTGGGCTGAATATCATAGTTTGCAGCATCATTGCATTGTACGTATTTGCAAGCTAAATAAAGGCTGGAGTCACCCCTAGTAAAGCCAGGCTCGGTAACGTGAGTGCCAATTAACACTGACTAGAGCCATGTTACTACAAAAGGCTCTCCACAAACGTACACTCATAAAAACCACTCTCTGATCTACTGCACTACTCGTATAAGTGGAAACCTCCATGTTCGACTCTAATATTTTTGTAGTTACCCCTCTTGGCACTCTATTTGACTTCTATCTAAAATTCAATATTTGCCCCACCATAGTTTCAAAATAAAATTGATGTCCATGCTATTTGAGAATATTTTTGGACTTTAGATTCACTTCCCCTCTGTGCTCTCTACCTATCAGCCATCTTTCTGAACAATAGTTCAAATCCACGGGAAATCACAGAACCACTCTTTGGTAAGCGATATTCCAAAAAGATACAGGGAAAATAAACTAGGGAGGAAAGCAATGTGTAATTTTGGCCAATTCAGACAACAATGTACCCGAATCCAACACTAGCCTATATTTTCGCGGTAATTTATACGCGGTCTATTTACGCGGGAATGCTGCGTGTCAAAGGATGGTCCAGAATGTGAATCAAACTGATTATCAAGGTCAATAGAGTTTCAATTTCGTTGTGCCCTCCGCGCTACCGGAAGGCCGGTGATTTCAAAGCAGGTCGTTAACCTAGATTTGAGCGGGAACGGACCAAGGTTAGGTTAGGTGTTCCCGCCAGAAGACCGCATTCCTGAGTCACACCTGCAGTGTTGCCAGCTCTCCAGCAGGTGTACCAACCTTGCCGAGGGAATCCCATCAGGGACGAGGCTTCTGAACGTTACCGACACGGGGGAAGTAGGGAGATCCAGAGATTACTAGGGGAACGTTGGGTAGTAAAAACAAATAAAAATATTTTGTCGCAATCGAATAAAAATCTAAGGTTTTACGTGGTTTACTATAAAGGACCTATTTTATATATGAATCAAAGTCAATGTGTAAGTTCGTAGTTTACGAATCCTAGCTTACCTGGACCAAAGTACACATTGGCAGTTCAACGGCGATAGTGAAAAATACAAGCATATGACATCTAGAAAGCGTGATCTTTTCATATGAAGAGTTTATTTTTTATCTTATATTTTTCTCACGAACTAAACAGCGCTAAAAGGAATAGCTAGTGTCGATGTAAACAACACGAATGGAAGGGAAAAATAGAATCGACAAATTACAGCTGGTGTACGGCTAAAACGCACACATTTAGAGCTTTTACGGTGATAGTAAAAATTGGCAAGTATACGAAAACAAGTAGTGTAGAAAATAAAACACTAAAGAGACGTAAAAGGTATCAATAGACTTGAAAAAATAAACAAACCTTAATAGGCGTAGTTATGGTGATCTACAATGATTCAGCTTGGACAACAATATGATGTTATGCGAATTGACTTAGAGATCAAATTAGCACAAACATTGTTTTAACCCCTTAGTTTTTATTATTTTTTTTATTCTAATAACTCATTTTAGAAAGCAAACTATATTTATTGTATACGAACTTTTACGTGAACAATGATTTGGAATTAAGTATTTAATCAAACAACTCAGTAAACTATAAAAAATTGCTTTCATCATAAATTCAGTAAACATATAATTTAAGATCAGCTGTTTACAAATCAGGACAGTAAGGATCTCAAACAAGACACACAGAACAGTGTACGGTGTATGACGCATCATGCAAAAGCAACAGTCATTAGTCCGTCATACCCTCTTTGTGTCTTTCTCTTTTGATCAAACTTACAAACCTTTGTGGCCCGCCACAAAAGGAACCCGTTATTTGTATTTACCGCTGCACACCCAACGCAATACTTCTTCAGACACTTTTCAAGACAGTTTTATGTCCATAATAAAAACTTATTTTTAATCGGTTGTTTAGAATAAATGCGTTAAAATAGCTACTTTTCCCTCTAGAGCAAAAATAATCAGCTGTAGTAGAGGTATTGATTACTCCACTGACTTTGCCGAAGAAAATTGTTAGAAATTAGCAAAAATACCGCATTCAAATTTGTTTGAGTTTATCATCCTGTCATATTGTATATTAAACTGTAGTACAAACACATTTATTTATATTGATACAAGTTGAAGTGTAAATAGACAATACATAAAAAACAAAGTTAAAGTTGCTCCAATATAATATATCAAAACAAGAATTAAGCTATTTTAGAGCAAATGTAGGTAAACAATGAACGAAATTTGCGTTTTGGAAATCATTTAGCCAGAAGTGGTCCAGTATGACGAAAAGTCATCACACAAAACGTAAATGTACATTATTTTTTATCCTGTGTCATTTTCAGTTAAACTCAAGCTCCTGTCGAATATGTAGAGTCAATTTTGGTCTTTATGATGAAATATTATTGTAATTGCCATCGTAGTTGTTGTGTGTTGTATACATTGTTGTTGAATATTATTATTATTTTTGTAACATTATTGTTAAAACAATTTTTAAACAGTTTAAGCGCTGTACAAAAGTTGAGAAGGATGTAGAACAAATTTACAAATGCATGTAGATTTATTCATCGATGGATTTCTAATGTAGTGTGGTCGTATGCATTATGCGCAGCATACATCCGGATCTGTGGTAAAACTGCGAGAAAAGAGGATTTAAGGGATTTTGCGGAAAACTCGACAAGACTCAATATTACGAAAACGGCGATGTCACATTTTCAAATGTATAAAACTTTCCTTTAATGTAAAACGGGCTTCATACGGTAACTTAGTTGAAATATAAATTTGAATGAAATTATGAATTATAATAGAAATTATATTGTTACGAGCTGACGGAACATACTGTATAACAACATGCAATGTATGATGAAAAAGTCTATTGTTGAAATTTTCTGTGCACTTAATAAGATACAAGTGTACCTGTTGTTCGAATTCGAGCAATTGCGAAGTATTAAAGGCGTTATTTTAAAACGAATAACAGTCATAATATCCGATTACTTTAAAAGAATTAACTCAAAGATTATGGAAATACTCACTATGTACTTAACAGTTCGATATAATCAACATTTCTTGTAAATATATTGTCATTTTTCAAAATCTGATCTTGTTTTTAGTGTTTTCCACTCATAGCCGCATTAAATTGTCCACTATAACGATTATAAATTGTAAAAACGCATCATTTCCATTTCTTCTTCTTGGTGGTGTTCTATGACTTTCCTATGTTTCCATTGTTTACAAATCGGCCCTTTATATGATTGGTCAAGAAATGCAGCACATTGTTAAATTAATTTTTATTTTTAGTATATCAAATAGTTCAGGCTTTCTCCCTTTTTTCCATTATAATATTTACGCCAACCCAAATTCAAAAATAGTAAATATTTCATTTCAACCAGGTCAGTAAATGTTTGCAGCACAAATTTCCTTAAATTGCAACTAAAATATTAACTGCAATTAAATTATCCAGCTAATCATAATGTAAAAAAATGTAGTGTAAAAAATATAGTTTTTTGACTATGGTATCTGCTTGAAAATGAACCTTTAGGTTCGAAACCTCGGTCGCTGACCTAAATTCCAGGATCACTGACAAGTACTACAGGTATTTAACCTTTTTATTAGTACAAAAAAATGATCTTTATAAGGATAACATGGGAAATTTACATCTACTGGGCAGAGCCCAAGGGACTTATTCAAAATGTAAGGCCTGTTTGCAAATCTACACACCTAGACGAACATTTTGCTATATAATATGTGGGGTTCAATCTTAAAACAAAAAAAGCCTTAATGTTTACATGTAACAAAAGTTTCATGTAGCTTATTGATAATATAGAATATTTAAAAGGATACAAAGTATTTTTTTCTTTCAGTAAACTCTCCAATGAGCTAAAGGCTCGTTGCACATTATATACACTAATTCGGAAAACAAGTACAAAACGGAATACATCACTGATATAAAATAAAGTACAAATTTGGAGTGCTAAACAAACTGAGATGATTTTTGTCACAAAATATTTAAGTTACCTGAAAATCTTTAACGACAGAGCTTTCTTCGACTTTTAACTCTCCAGCGACCAAATCGGTTTAACTCTCGGCCTTCACTGAAAGTCTTTGGGAAAGTAAATAAATCCAATTTGCCAAGACAAGGTTGGGAAGCAGGATTTAAAGGGTTGTGTTGAAGTCCGGTGACGTCATCTATCAACCCAACTGGGACTGACAGACCGTTTCCTCAGGAGAAACATCCCTTCTCTCTCCAACAAATCATCCCTCCCCACAAAGAGTGGTCCGAGGTATTCTGTTGTACCCGGAGGAACTACTGAGCTTTTCTATTTATTTTTACGCATTTCCTTGAATACATTTAAAAAAATAGTTTTCATCATACCGTCCGGACAGCAGTTTTAGCTAGCGATATTTTAAGTTATTTTTGTAAACAACAGCAATGTAAACATTGATGACGACTTTGTATAACCTAAAACTTGGTGGTCTAATTTTGTAACGATTAGAAGGTTATTTCCACAGTATGATGAAAATAGATGTTCATCACACAGAGAAAAAGTGTCTTTTAGCGAATTTCCCATATAGGGAATAAGCTATTACCGTAGTACTCATGGTAAGACCTGGACGCGGGACCGATTTTTTTTTCGTTTTGAGGTCCCTAGAGGCCAAAAACACCATCCGTTCAAATTCATATATATATATATATATATATATTTATATATTTATATATATATATATATGTGTCCGTCAGCACGATAACTCGAGCAAAAATGATCCGATTTTGATGAAATTTGGTACAAACGTGTAAACGTACGTTTATTCAAACGAGTTCGCGATCCAGCATGATCGGACTATGGGAACGGGGGTTTACGGGGGGTTTTATGGGGTAAAAATAGGGTTTTCCCATTTTTGACCCAAAAAAACATAAAATTTAGCAATTTCTTTCCAAACCATTTTGTAGAGCTTCAAAAAACAAATAACTTAGTATATTGAAGCGTTATTATGCGCCTAATGGTTACGGAGAAAATTCCAAAAAATTGTAAATTAAAAATTCCCATGTTATTCTTATGGAGAATAAGTAAACTGTTGTAGTTTGCTTGTTTGTGAACATATTTTGATCGAATTTGGAAAATGTTTTTTTTTCTTACTAACAATTCACATAAAAAAAACACAGTTTTACCCTCCCTGATGCAGCAAACCTAAGTACTTGTTAAACTAATTCTATTTAAATCAAGAATAAATGTTATATTTTTAAGTAGACATTTCAGTGTAAATCCAATCAGTCAAATGGAAATTCGCTTAGTCTGCAGGTTTGCTGCGGCGGGGGTATTTGGTACTTTTGGTACCACTGGTATCGTATTCCCACCAAAAAGAGCAATTTTCGCTCAAAGTGTTAAAAACTACTATTTTTGTATTGTTATTGAAAAATATGTGGGGAAAAGATGTTGTGACCTTTTAGAATTGAACTTGATGACACGTAAACTGACCAAAGTAGTGCTTGACGTACTAAACAAAAACTAAAAAAAGTACTAAAAAAGTAGACGTTTTTTTTGTATTTTTCTTTGTAATTGATTCCATTGGCAATACACCGAGTAATACATTACATTGAAATTACCGACTGCTAGTGAGATAAGCACATCAGCTGATTACAATGCATTGTTGTCATTAACCAATTTATGTTCGTGTCAGGTATTCGATTATCCATCTCCCATCTATGTTCAGGAATAAACATGAAACTGAGTGATCTACTCACACTAACAAACCTTGAAATTGGACTTTCGACAACAGGGAAACTAATGTGAAGCATACTTCCCATTATATTAAGTTTAAGCT